CCTGGGAAGCTACGGACTCCCTTAGCACAGTCAGACTCTGGCATGGTCGGGAAGACAGGTGGGAAAATGGCAACCAGAGGGAGACGACTTTTGGACCATTTGCCTAACTCTTCCCATTCCTGGATATTCCTCACTTGAGCAGCTCAGCCATCCAGGGCCCTGACTGTACACTCCACTCAAGGAGCAGAAACTGAGCCTCATTCTCCACCTTGCATCAAGTGCAGGGTCCATTGGGGCAGTGTGTGTGTTTGTGTGTGTGTGTGTGTGTGTACACACACCTGGGCAGGAGGGATGGTTCCATGATTAAGAGCACTTGGTGCACATGCAGAGGACCTGGTCTGACCCATGACACCCACATGCTGGCTCACACCTCCAGTTCCAGGGATCTGACACCCTCTCCTGGCTTCTGCAGGCACATATGTGGTACACATAAACATGCTCTCAAAACGCAAACACACACAAAACTCCTTTACAAAAAATGTGTGTGCCTAAGTATATGTAAGTGTACTCTGCATGCAGGTGCCCGGGAAGTCAGGAGAGTGTGTGGAGTTACGAGCGTTTGTGAGCCACCTGATGTGGATGCTGAGAACAGAATCCAGCTTGTCTGCTGGTTCCTTTCCAATTTATTGAGGCGAGGTCTCCTGCTGAACCTGGAGCTTGCTGATCCTAGAGAGAGCCCTCTAATCCCAGGACCCCTTTTCTGCCTCCTCAATGCCAGGATTCCAGTGGACTGCCTGCAGCCATCCAGTTTTTACGTGGGTTCTGGGGATCTGAACTCTGGTCCTTATGCTTGCAAATCAAGTGCTTTGCCCATCGAACCATCTCCCTCTGTGGGATCTCGAAGAAAACATTTATTAGTGGGTGCGGAAGTGTGGCCACCGTGCACGTGTGGAGGTCGGAGGACAACTTGAAGAAGCTGCTTCTCCTTTCCCACTATGTGGATCCCAAGGATGAAAATCTGGATGCCAGGCTTGGTGGCAAACACCTTTACCTGCTAGACAGTTCCCATGGGAGCTTTTACCTTCAGTTTCCCTAGCTACAAAAAGCAGATGAGAATACCTTTCTTGCTTCAAAGGACGTTTACAGTGATCACGAGAGACTGCACATGCACCCACTGTGCACCCCACATCAGGACAGGAATGTGTGATCCTGTTCCTCCGGCCATTAGAATCCTGAGAGCCCCAGTCAGGTCGCGGGTGACACTGAGAAGGTAGAGGCAGAGGCCAGTTTGATCTACATACCAAGTTCCAGGACAGCCAAAGCTACACGGTGAGTTAGGACTCTTATCTCAAAACAAAATGAAGAGTGTCGGGCTGGCCAAGTGGTCTAAGGGGTCAGACTTCAGTTCTGTTCCTCAGTGGCTTGTAAGAAGGCCAGGGTGCAACTCAGTGTTGGAGCAGAGTCACATCCCAGGCCTTGTGCTGCTGGCCTTCTGCAGCCTCTCCTCTCGAACACTGTGAAGATTCGTCACTCAGATTGGTTTAATAAAAAGCTGAATAGCCAGTAGCTAGGCAGGTTTCTCGGGGCAGAGAGGAAGCTGGGAAGAAGGGTGGAGACTCTTGAGAGTCGCCAGCCAGAGACAGAGGAAGCAGGAAAGCAGCATGGGCAGTACAGAGGAAAGGTAATAATGCCATGAGACAGAAAGTAAATTAATAGAAATGGGTTAAGTTATACGAGCTGGTCAGAATCAAGCCTAAGCTGTTGGCCGAGCTTTTATAATTAACAATAAGTCTCTGTGTCATGGTTTGGGAGCTGGCAAGAGGGACAGAAAATGGGTAGTTAGTGTAGTGTGAAAATATCTGAGGCTACACTCTTATGAGTTCTGGGCCTCTGACCCATTTTTACCTTCCCCTTTCTTCCAAGTAGAACATTAGATGAAAACAACAAAAACAAAATACAACTTCTTTTTTTTTTCTTTTCTGCTTTTTTCCAGGATTTCTCTGTAGACCAGGCTGGTCTCAAACTCAGAGATCCTCCTGCCTCTGCCTCATGAGTGCTGGGATTAAAGGCGTACACCACCACTGCCCCGCTCAAAATACAACTTCCAGTGAGTGACAAGCACAGTGGCTGATGATCTCAGCACTGTAGAGGTTGAGGCAGGCTAATGCAAGTTGAAGGCCATCCTAGAATACATGGTGAGTTCCAGGCCAGTCTGGGCTGTAGAATAAGACTTTGTATCAAAACATACACACACATACACTTCAATGACTATAACCCCTGACAAGAACAGACTATGTAAGGTGTAATCTACACTTTATATTTTGGTAAAAATAAAATAAATGCCAGATATGTTGTCACATGCTTGACACTGGGTACTTGGGAGGCGGAGACAGCAGGATTATCATGAGTTTGAAGTCAGCCTGGGCAAATTCCAGGCCGGGAGATAAAGTGAGACCCTAACTCATTGAAGGCTATGGTAGTTCCTTCTGGCACTTTCTATAGCTATACTGAGGTGCTTAAGGTCTGTTTCTCCAGGATTATCTACAAGCTGACACAACTCCTAAAGACCAAGTCTTCAGTCAGACTTCAGGAAACGATCTGCCTGCTCAGCCAACTACACTCCTCTGGCCCCACGTTGGCTGGGTTCTGACCCGGTACCGATTCCCACACAGCCCGGAGCCTACACACCAACTCTCCTATAAAAGCCCTACGATAAGAACTGCCATCATTAAAAATTGCTGACCAAACTACAGAATCTCAAAAGGATGCAGGCGAACCACGCCAAGTTCTCATGGGGCAAAGGGGCGGGAGCCAGAGTCCGATCAGGCATCTTCAGAACTTAGTATTCCTTGCCTCTCCAGTCCTTTAAGAAGGGAAGAAACCGGCCGGGCGGTGGTGGCGCACGCCTTTAATCCCAGCACTCGGGAGGCAGAGGCAGGTGGATCTCTGTGAGTTCGAGGCCAGCCTAGGCTACCAAGTGAGTTCCAGAAAAGGCGCAAAGCTACACAGAGAAACCCTGTCTCAAAAAACCAAAAAAAAAAAAAAAAAAAAAAAAAAAAGAAAGGGAAGAAACCACGCCCCTGCTGTCTCAAGTTTCTATTGCTGTGATAAAGAACATGACCAAAAGCAACTTGGGAAGGAAAAGGTTCACTTGATTTACATACCCCAGGCCACAATCCACTGAAAAGCCAAGGCAGGAACCTGGAGGCATGATGAAGCAGAAGCCACCAAGGATGCTGCTCTCCGGGCTGCTCACCATGGGTTGCTCAGCCTGCTTTCTTGTACAGCCCAGGACTACTGCCCAGGTGTAGCACTGCCCAGTATGGGCTGGGCCCTCCCACATCAGTCATGAATCAAGAAAATGCCCTACAGACTTGTCTACAGGCCAATCTGATGGAGCATTTTCTCAATTCCCTCTTCCCAGATGATCCTGGCATGCGGCAAGTTGACAGCACCTAATCAACACTCCCGCCATCAGAGACCAGGACACACCTGCTGGCTTTTTCTGAAGAGCATAGCACAGGCATTCTGGGCAAGGCTGCTTCTGAGCCCAGCTTTACCATGCCCTCGCCAGGTAACACCTCAACTGTGGGGTGGCTCTACCTGTCAACTCAAACTCAGTCCAGATGTGACATTCCACTGAAGCCTTTCTGCAGAGGCCCCGCCCCAGCAAAGAACCAGCTGGAAAGGCTGAAGGATCTCCCTTCCTCTTATCAGACCAAGGCCTGGGCCCTGCTCAGTAAAGCATGAAGGAGTCTCCCTCCTCCCTCCCCCTTCTCCCTGGAAGCCACAGGCACAGGGTACACTTTTAAATTATGGAGTAGCTTCCTCTGCCCCTCTCAGAAAGACCCAGGCGCCCCAACTAAATAATTCAGCACCTTGGGAAGACCCAGTGGATCCTGACACAGCAGAAGTAGGTCAGGCCATGACTTGGCTCTGGGAGGGGGCTGTCAAGCACACAACAGCTCCTTCTCCATGCTAGAAGGAGCTGCAGGCTAGGAAGGCCCTTGCTTGCTTGGCAAGACCACATACCAGTGAGGGGTACTACAAAGACCCCATTCCTTCCCTTCCTGGTACAAGTGCAGGTACATCCCCTCCTGAATTTCCCTCTGGGGTTCAGGTAACCTGCCCACCTGCACCCCAAGTTACCCTAAAGCCTGTGTTTGCCTGTGCCCCTCCTACCCACTCAGCACCTGGATACATGTCAGCCCTGATCCATATGTCAACAGTTAACACCCTAGACCCAAGCCAGACAAGAGAAGGGGTGAGGTGCTGGAGTCATCCGAGGTGCGACCAGGGCCAGCAGCCACAGCCACTGCCACTTTGCTAGGTGGGGGCAGCAGGAGGCAGGCTCTGTCTACTGGCCCCACCCTGCAGGACCAGGATGGACAAAAAGCAAACTCAGAAAGGCAGCCCTCCAGTAGGAGCTGGAAAAGATCTCAAGCCACTTCTCCTGAAACACCGTATCACAGAGGAGCCAGGGTGGCCACAGGCCTCCTGACGACCCTGTCCATGCCAGCCCAGACTCTCAGCACAGCCCACCTCGGGGACCTTCTCTCTTCCCAGCTATCAGCCAACAGTACAGGTTAGTTTAACCTGCCATGGGCAAGGTTTACGGCTCCTCTCTGCCCCCCAGGCCAGCCTCACAGATGTGCACCAAGATCAGACTCTAGGGAGGGAAGCTAAGCATACCAACTTCAGTTTTTTCTTTCTAGAGGGCTTGAGAACCACAGGGCAAGAGGGTGAAGGCAGGTAGATAAAGACACACTCAGGTCCCTGACTGGGTGCGGGGACTAAGGCTCTCTGCCCTCAGAATTCCATGACCAGGAGTGAATTCATCACACATGAGATAACGGACAGCGGGCACCTGTATGACCCCGGTGCAGGTCATTCCTCACTCTGGGACTGGTTCCTCAGCTAACGAAGGCAGCAATGACTGTAGCCACTCTGAGGTATCCCCAGCGAGACAGCCACTGGGCCAGGACCGTTTCCCGGCTTCCCTCTGGTCATCCCCAGCCTGACAGCCTGGGTCCCATGGAATGTACAAGCAAAAATCAGAGCACAGTCACTTCAGGTTTTTATTTTGCGTTTCATTTACGATCCAGTTTCACATTCTCACAGGGTCAGCAATTACAACAGCCACCTCCAGACATCACCCACTGTCCGAAGCAGCCGATATCCGAGCTGAGGTTAAAGGTAGAGCACGCACATGCTTGTAAAATAAAACAGAATTGCACAATTTATCCTTCAGCTCATTCTTCTTAAACCAATGCCCGACACAAAGGCTGATCGCTAAGGAACGGAACACGCCCCCCTCCCCTTCTTCTTCACGCTTCAAACTAAACATTAAACTTATCCGACAGGCTGAACAAGGTCTCTTCAATAATTAATGGTAAACACATGAAAAACCCTTTATGATCCATAAATATTTTGTTACATAGGGTACAAAAATACTTTTCACGTTTTGGTTGGTTTCAGAGTTCAGGAAGAATGAGGAGCAGTGGCAGGGTTGGGTGTTCTGGGGGAGGCAAGCACAAGGGAGGCTTCTTAGGCTGTCAGCCCTCCGGACAAGGAGACGACGACGCAGGACGCTGATTAAGTGAAAGTCAGAGGCTGTGGATCTGCTGCTAGATGAGGATGGAGTCTGCAAGTGTATGTGCGTGTGTGCGTGTGTGTGTGTGTGTGTGTGTGTGTGTCTGATAGGAGCAGGGTCCTTCAAGTCAGAAGCGGCCGCAAGGCTCAGGCCTCCCTGAAGTAGGGTGGGTGTAGGAGTCAGGAGTGGAGAGAGAGACCAGGCTTGACAGGCCTCCGGTGCCAAGACCTGTTGCTACGGCGACAGTGTGAGAACAAACCGTACACTCGTATGCACAAGTTTAAGCGTCACAATTCATAAACATGCAAAATCAAATGTCCCTTTCCCTTGATGGGGAACTACGGAAGTAAGTTTGAGCAGGAGGTCGGGCTGTGCTGGGTTCCCACTGAGGCGGGCAAGCTGGGCCTGGGTGTCCCAGTCAGAAGGCCTCCGGATCCTCCTGGAGGGCCTTGGAGAACTGAGGAAGAAGGAAACAAGAGCCGTCCACTGAGTCAGGCTTCAGATTCACAGTGTCTAGAGGGAAGCAGCAGTTCCGCACAGGCCTCGGGTGGCAGTGAGGGCAGAGCCCTGTTTTGGCCCCACACAACCCAGGACCAACTCCAGGGTGACAAGACCTGGAGGGAGGGGAGAGAGGTGGCCATGAGCAGAGAAGGACCGGAGCTGGCTATGGAGGCCGAAAAGGGGGATGCAGGGTAACGGGAAGAGGGCAGAAAGGAAGCAGCCGCGGGTGCCCCTGTGAACGCTCAGGAGTCCACAGCCCTGGCAAGCTCTCAGGACCAGGCAGAGAGGACCCACGGCCATGTGAGCAGCCAGCACTGAGGATGCTGACCTCAGAAGCCAACACTTACTGAGGAGCTAACAGAACTGGCGGTACTTCCATCCTTGCTGGGTGGTATCTGAGGAGGGGTACCAGCGCACCTGCAAGAAAAGTCACCGTCAGGGTACACTTACCAGCTGCTCACCTCAGTCCTCAGCGGGAGCCAGGCGAATCTGAACAGAGTCCCTGCAGCTGTCCAGGCTGTCACTGATCACTTGACAGAGGCTGGGCCAGTTACTCACCTCTAAGCATCAGCTTCTTTCTCCTGAAAATGGGAAAACACACCTGGCCTGCCTCCTCTCGAGGGTCAGGGTTCCATGAGGAGGACACATCAGCATTTGGACCCCACATGTACATGCATGCTTTGGCATGCACGAGGAGGTTATATAGCACAACTTGTGGGAGTCGGTCCCCTCCTCCTACACAGCCTCCAGGGACTGAAGTCGGTATATTAGGCTTGATAGGCAAGTGTCTATCTGCTGAGCCATCTTGAAAGGCCCTAGGGTTTTGGTTGGGTTTTTTTGTTTTTGAGACAGGATCTCATGAGTTCCCTGGACCTCCACCTCTTGAGTGCTGGGATTACAGGAGTGGGTGTCTGTGTCTGTGCTAAGGATTGAACCCAGGCTTCATGCATGCCAGGTAAGCACTCGGACAACAGTGTTGCCTAGCCTGAGAAATTCTCAACAGGAGAAGGAGCTTGATACATTTTATGCTGTTTCTTTCATTTTATCTCTTTCTTTTTCTTGGCCCACCCAGGAGACAGGGTTTCTCTGTATCCCTGGCTGTCCTGGAACTAGCTCTGTAGACCAGGTTGGCCTCGAACTCAGAGATCCACCTGTCTCTGCCTCCCAAGGGCTGGGATTAAAGGAGTGCACCACCACCTCCACCCAGCTTGGATTTGTTTCTTCATCTATCTACAAAACAAACATGGCTGTAAACAGCAAGCTGGACAGGAAGTAAAACACACAAAAACAAAAAACAGTGTGGTTTTCAAGAGGCGGGTCTCCACACACAGGTCCTGGCCTTTCCTCAATGCAGCCATTTTTGACTGCATTTCCATTTTCCCCACACTCTCATGGGCTCATAAGTGCAGAGACTTGAAATCCCTACTGAGGTTTCAGGCAGGAGGTGACAGTTTCAGGTTATCCTTGCCTGGGCCTGCAGCTACCTATACTGACAATCACAGAAGGCCCCCCACACACAGGCCAGCAATCCCAAGGTTGGATTCCCAGAGACTGGTCAATAAAATGGCATGGATCCCTCTCGGTGAGCTAGACATCTGGCAAGGACAGCTGAGCTGCTGCCAGACAAAGGCTTCAGGGAAGGCACCTGCCCCAGTCACACACGGCAAAGGAGGAGCATGTCAGCTCCAGCCTGAGCCAAAGCTGCCTGCCTGGGGGAGAGTGGGGTCTGAGCATCCAGGAGAGCCGGGAGTCCCCTTAGGAAGAGTGGGATGGTACTTAAGAGCCACTGTAGGGAATGTGTTAGAAAGCTGGGCATTCAGACAACACCCACGAAGCTGCAGCAGGCAGACCCAGATGGCCCGCTTGGCTGCATTTGATTCCCGCCTCTTGGGTAAGCAGAAAGGGTATGACCAGTGCCAGGCCCTCTGGGCTGAGGAAACTGCCCTAGGAACTGCTCCTGGGACCCTCCCAACTCTACTACATGTTGGTTGTAGAGTCCACCGTTCGGGCCATCACAGCCTCCCGGGAGGTGACAAGAAGTTAGGGGCTGGTTATCCTTACACTTGCCCACCTGGCACAGAGCAGGACAGGCTCTTCCTTCTCCTGGCTGACAGCTATAAGGGAGGAGGAATTCCTCTGGCTCTTTGCTGGGCTGGGAATACCCTCTTAGTTGGACACCCAGCTAGACACTAGAAGTTATTCACAAGCAAGGATATAAAGAGGAAGAAGCAATACTGTCACCAGACAAGCTCGGGGCTCCAGCCAGCTCAGAAATCTCCTCATGGGCTCTGCCTACCACCCTTCACCCAGCTGGAGTAGCCCCACAATTAGTGCCTGACTGGCTGGGAGCCCATGGGACCAGACACAGGAGACTCGAAGGGAAGCCTTAAGAAGCCTCCCACTCACCCTCTTCCGTATAAGGGAGCTGAGGCCTCAGATGGGTGCTTGAAAGTCTCCCCATACTCGCTCCACGGGTGCTCCAACTACAGCAGCAGTTCTTCAGCCTCGGAGTCAAGACGTCTTAGGATGTCTTGGGGGCATTTATGGCCCAGGACAGCCAGGCCACTGATGCACAGGGAATGCACTTGAATGGATGCACTCAGTGGGGTTGCTGTAGAACATTTCATGGATGCCTAGCATATGCCTGTGGCCTGGCTTCCACTAAAAGCAGCCCAGTCTCTCTCTGCATCTCCTCTTCCTGCTCAGCTCATGACATCCTCCAGGCCCAGGCCTACCATGTGAGGGACCCTGTAGCCATCATCCTCTCAGGGCCTTCAGCTGTTCATAGCTTCCCGAGAGGCCACCCCTGTCCTACCTAAGGGCTGCTTCAAACCAAGAAGTGAGCATGAGGACACAGCCTCAGTCCCCTCTCAGATCTTAGGACCGAATAAAAAGATCTACCAAAAAGGAATGATTCTACATAAGAAAAAAATATGAATAGTCAATAAATATGAGAGCCTCACTGGCCAGAAAATCAGCTACAGTAATACTTCACCCAGGACCAGTGAGATGGCTCTGTGACTAAAAGCACATAGGCCCGTTGACCTGAGTTTGGTCCCTGGAACCCACAAAAAGGTGGAAGGAGAAAACTGACTCCACAAAGTTGCCCTCTGACCTCCATACATACGCCATGGTACCCATGTCCACACACAAACATCATCATCATCATAATTAATAGTAAATAAAAACAAACAAACAAAAAACAGCAACAGCGAACCTCAGTCCTTGCCTGACGAGACTGTCAAGTCTGCACTGGGACTTCATATTGGTCTAGGAATTCACCACTAGGAAAACCATCAGGCCAAGTGCCCACAAATGTGTAGCAAGGAGAGTCACCTCACTAGGTCCTGTCAGCAGGTTCTAACTCTCAACTTCTTTGACACCTGTCTAAAGCTGGCACATTATACATCGATATGCCAGCCAGGAACCTGGGCACAAATCCAGTAACTGATGTGGAAAACTAACCGTCCAAAGATTAAGTTCCAGTGAGCACGGTGGCTATGCTTGCAACGCTGGAACTCAGCCGGTAGAGGTAAGAGAATGAGGAGTCTGAGGCTGGGCTTGGGTCCATGGGACTTTGTCTCAAAAATCCAGAAGAGACAAGATTAACTGAACAGAAAATTTTATGGAAAGACTCACATCCACGGATTTATTTATATACCCGCTCCCAAATCTATAATTGGTTAGTTTACCATCATGAATTCGTGTGAGCGTGTGTGCCAGTGTGCGTGTGGAAGCAGTGCTCTCCTTTCACCTTTCTGTGGGTTCCAGGGACCAAGCTCAGGTCACCAGGCTTGGAGGCAAGCACCTTTACCCTCCTGGGTCATCTTACCAGGCCCAAAATTTATTTTTTAAAAAAGAGACAGCCATCACAGGGCATGACAGCACATGTCTGTATGTCCAGCACTGAAGCAGAGGCAGGGGGGATTGCCATGAGTTTAAGGTTTTTTGTTTAAAGGGGAAAAAAAAGGGAAAGAAAAAGGTTTTCCTTGGAGTATGATAAGCCAATGTTAAAAGAAACCCATCCTGTCTGGTTTTCTCCCTAAACGCAGATCTGTAGGAGCTTAAATGTTTTTGAGGTACTTGCCACGAGTCATGTGCTGCTCTGAGTTTCCATTCACAAATTTCACTTAAATTGTCAAGAGTCCTATTACACAGAAAACAGGCAAGGGAGTCTGTGGCCACACATGCTTTGTGCTTTCGTGCCTTCTTGCTTACAAGTTTTGTTGTTGTTGAGACAGAGTTTCAATGTAGCACAGGATGGCTTCCAAAACTGCTATGTAGCCAAGGCTGACCTTGAACTCCTGACCCTCCTGCCTCTACCTCCCTAATGCTGGGATTACAGGCAGAGGCCACAAGGCCTATCTCAGGTGAAGAATCAGTTCCTTTCAGGGCCCTCCTGCAGGTCTGGTCTGTGCAGCCACAGGGCTATGGAAGCTGGGGTGTGTCCCGCAGGGGAGCAATAGGAATCTTAGTTCCCACACCTTCCTGCCTTCTATTTTCAGCTGCTACCTTTTCTCAAGGTCACCTTCACTTTTCTATTGGTCCTCTGGGTCAGGACCTCTCACTTAGGCTTAAAGTGTCCACTCCCTTATTCAGACACTTCGGGAGGAGTATTGTCAGGGAACAAAGTGGACAGGGAAAAACAAATATCACTCCACGGAACAGACTTGCGTGCCTATCACGACGCCCTCATGGTCTCTCTTACTGCTGGGAAAACGGGTGTCCAGTCAGTGTGAAAAGCAAGGTCAGAACTAAAGCATGCTTAGTCATTTGTCAGCCCCCCAAAACAGGCCACTGTGCTTTGGGGTGGCCTCCTCCCTGCTCCCAGGAAGGCTAGAAGACAGCACCTCAGGCAGACACAGACCTCCAGCCAGACAATAATAATAATGCTCCTGCCTCAGCAATCAAAACCACCAGCACTTCTGTAGTACTTTATGCTGATAGCTCCGCCACAAAAGCTGGGTGTGGTAGAGTATGAAGTATCCTAGCAACCCAAGATGGAGGCAGATCAGGAGTTCAAGGTCATTTCATCTTAAGCTACATGAGACTCTATCTCAAAAAGCACAAAGACAAACGATAAAAAGGGACCCTTGAGATGTAGCTCAGTGGTAGTACTCGCTTAGAATGTATGAGGCCTTGGGTTCCATTCTGAGTACTGTGTAACCAGGGTGTTGCCTGCCTGTTACCTCAACACTCTGGAGGTGAAGATGGGGATCAGAAGCTCAACACCAACCATCCAGACCCTGGGCTACACAGTGCAACCAGCTTGGGCCAGGTGGTGGTGGCACATGCCTTTAGTGCCAGCACTCTCGAGGCAGAGGCAGGCGGATCTCTTTGAATTCAAGGCCGGCCTGGTCTACATAGTGAGTTCTAGGACAGGCTCCAAAGCTACACAGAGAAACCCTGTCTCAAAACCCAGTCTGGAATATGGGAGACCTTACCACAAAAACCAAAACAAAAACATCACAAAAAACAAAATGGGGTGGGTGAGGGTGGGGGTGGGAATATTCAGTAAGTACTATTTTCTCCATTTAACAAGGAAATCGAGATCTGAGGTTAAAGGTCACACAGAGGTTGAGGAATGGGGCCAGGATCTGGACTAAGCTAGAAAACAGCAGAGCATGGGAAGGAGCTGGGAAAGGGGCCGCAGGAGACTACAGACTTCAGAGACTAGCAGCAGGGTAGCACTCCCAGCCAGCTGGCAGAGCAGAAGAGTGTCTCCCAGGTTCACTTGACGACAAATCCAGGGTCTCTGGCTCCTGAATACCTGACCCAGTTAGCCTTTTCATTTTCTTTTTTTTTTTTTTTTTTTTTTTTTTGGTTTTTCGAGACAGGGTTTCTCTGTGTAGCTTTGCGCCTTTCCTGGAACTCACTTGGTAGTCCAGGCTGGCCTCGAACTCACAGAGATCCGCCTGGCTCTGCCTCCCGAGTGCTGGGATTAAAGGCGTGCGCCACCACCGCCCGGCTGCCTTTTCATTTTCTAACTGAGCACATATAGGCCCAAAGGAGAAGATCATGTAGCTACTGCCCAGGCAGGACCACGTAGCTACCTCCATGTGCTCTTTCCTTGATAGTATAGGAAACCCCCACGCTGGATGGTGGCCAGGACAGAGTAAAGGTCTACGTGGCCAGCAGCAGAAACAACAGTACTTGACGCCCTATTCTGGGCCCAGCCTCTACTCTCAAACTTCCCACAAACAGCTACTGTCTCTTTTCTGCCCCAGTGCCCAGTCCCCAAACCTGTAATCCCAATACTTAGGAAGTTGAGGCAGGAGGATTACCAACAGTTCAAGCACAGCCTGGCCTACACAGCAAGATTGCCAGGGCCTGAGCTTCCAAATAATCCACGAAGACAACAGTTTGTGGGGATATTTTTGGACACCAAGTCTCACATTTTAGCCCAGGCTGTCTTAAAAATTCCAGCAATCCTTCTGCCTCAGTTTCCTAAATCATAGTATTACAGACAGGAGCTACCAGTCCCGGCAGAAGACAACACTTCTGTTGCCGCAGCCCCAGGGACAGGACAGGTAGGCAGATCCCCCTGGTCTGTCTTGAGCCTTCTACTCCTCCACCCAAAATGGCTTACCTGAGCATGAAGGGCAGCAGCAGCAGCAGTGGCAGTTGGGTAGGTGAGCGTAGTATGTGAAATGGCTGGGGTCAGCTCTGTGGTGTAGAGCGGGTAAGGGGCCCAGGCCTCTGGGGGTGCAGGGATCAGAGCAGCCCCCATCAGGTCATCTACAACAGGAGACAAGAGCCTCCATCATCAGAACACTGGTCTCCCCTCCCACCACCCCCTTTCAAGCAGAAAAGGGGACCCAGCACTATAACTGAACCATAGTCCCCGTGCCCCGAGACCAGGAAAAGAAGCCCTGTGAACTTGCTTGGCATGACCAATACCCTATTTCTGGAAGATCTCAAGCAAGCCATAGATAGCCTGTATTTAAAAAAGAGAGAGAGAAATCACAAAAAGGCTTCAAGGAAATAGCGTAGCCCTGACAGCCTAGGAGCTCAGCCTTCCTCAGTCTAGAAAAGCCTGCAGAGGAGGAAGTAGGCTGGTAAGTCTCAAGGCGGTGGCTACAGATGAGAGAAGGACCCGGAAAAGGAGTTTAAGGAGAACCTGCTGGCCTGAGCCAAGTCAAAGGACAGGAGAAGCAAGACCAGAGGCTCACTCACAAGGGTCCCGTGCAATCAAATGTGCTCCTAGGGCAGGGTGGACATTGGTGGGATTTGGTGTTGCTATTAGCTTGCTTTTGGCCATCTTGGTGTTAGCTTTGGCAAACTCTAGCCTCAGGGTCTGTGGGTTCTCCGGATCAAAGCGAATACCCTAAATGGGAAGAAAAGGAAGAGAGACTCATACAAGGACTCATCTTGTCAACTGCCATCAATACAGAGGGCTCCAGTAGCAAGCTTGCCTATAAGCCTCTTGCACACAGGGTTACAGCTGAGGGAATACTGCTGACCTTGTGAGTAATGACACTCATCACAAATCAGGCAGCCAAAGATTCTGCCCTGGGATGGATGGGAAACAAAAATCCATCTGTTTATTGAGATGTGCAGTAGGGGAAGATCTGCAGCGGTCAGAACGGGGACAATCACTGCTTCAGAGGTCTGTGGGTCAGAGAAAGGCATGTTCTCTGCTGTCTACTCACATTCAATGCATTTTTGGCTGCTTCTGCTCCTGCCCGGCTGTCAAAGATCACAAAACCAACAGGCTAGTAGGAAGAAACAAAGAACATCCTTGCATGCCTCCTGGCCTTACATCTCTGCTCAACCCCCCTCCTCCCGCCAGTACCACAAACATAAAAACCCATCACCTAATTGGAAACAGTATCTGCCCTGCTGGTTAGAGAACACAGAAGAAATAAAGCTCTTGTCCCGAACACCCTCCCCTAAGGTAAATCTGGAAGATTCAGGATTCATAAGCATCTAAGTTAAGTCCTTCTTGGTACCACACTGTGAAAGGATGCCAACACAGCACTATTCCATGGGTCGTTAATATCATTAACAACATCACCTTTTCTGCAGCTTTTTTTTAAAGCAGTACTGAGGATTAAACCTAGGTCTGGCACATGTCTGGCAAGTCCTCTATCACCACAACCCCAGAAGCCTTTGCAAATGCATGCAGATAAGGTTGAAAACTTCTGAATTCAAACTCCCAGTGGCCCCTGAAGGCTCTGGGCTCTGGCCTCCTGTAGGAGGTCAGAGCTCAACTACTATCTCTAATGTCTTCAGCCTTGGGGGCCAGGCAGGCTGTGGTTCCAGAATGCCAGAGCCAGACAAGGCCAGAGGCTGACAAGGCCCAGCTGGCTAGAAAAGAGGAGGAGGGAACTGTGGAGGCTGTCCTTCTGTCAGCACAGAAGCAAGACAGCAAAGGGTGAGTCTTCACCTTCGGATGCCTTCAAACAGTAGGAAAAAGGTTTCAGTCCCACCAGCAGTTAACCTGGGCTGGGAGGAAAAACCTAGGAGAGAAATTACCTGTCTTGAGGTGAGCTTGATCAGGGACCCTTCATAGCCCTGTGGAGAGAGGTGGCCATTTCAGGGATCGGAAGCTGTGATTGTGCTAACCCAGCACTGTCTCCCACATCAGCCTCACCTTTACTCAGTGGTCCCCTGACTCATTTTAACAATCCTCCAAAGGCAACCCCCTCACCGAGGCTGAGCTCCTGCAGCCTTTGTGTTCTGAATCACATGGTACAGCAGCAGTACCCAGGGCACTCCTGTGTGCTCTACGAACTTGTAATTCGAGCACAATTGCCTTATCCAGTTTCCTCAGCTTCAAATGAAAAAAAAAAAAAAGAAGCTACACTGAATCTCAAGAATTCCTCACATGGCGAAGTCTGTTAAGATCTTTACCGTCTCCACTTTACAGATGAGCAAACAGAGGTTCGGCAGGGCCGAGAAACCGGCACAAGATGAGATTCAGCAGAACCATTATAGATAGAGAGCCAGGTCTGTGACCTCAGATTCTGATACACCTTTCTGCAGTTCAATCCACAGCAGAGATTCATTCTTGCTGCTCAGCCCTGATCCTGGGCTCTCGGGGCTTCTGGGTCCTGACTCACCTTGAACGGCCGGAAGAGCAGGTAGAGTTCTCTAGGTTTAATATCCACAGGGAGGCCACTGACAAACAGTGTCCGGACCTGGAGACAGAGACCACAGTGGTCAGGATCAGGGGGGACAGGAAGGAAAGGGTTGTTCATCCACAAGGTAGGGCTTACAGAGAAACTGAGTATATCCTAGGCCTCTTTTACACATACAGTTTCGGGGCTTTGAATCTGTCAAAGCTTCCCTTAGGCTTCACCCAACACCTCTGGGCAAATCTCCTGGCAACAGAGGCAAGGCCTTGGTACATAAATGTTACCATCCTTTCTCTGACCAAAGACCACAGCCCCACACCCGAGAGAGAGTGTGTCTCACTCCGTAAGACAAGCACATAAGAATGTTATATTTTTGCACGTGCTACACAGTCACAAGGACCAGAGTTTGGGTCTGGGCACCCACATAATGAGCTGGACATCCTGGGAACACCTGTAAGTACAACTCTGAGAAGAATGGAGACAGAAGGATTACTGTAGCTGGATGGCTTTCCGCTGACGTTCAGGAAAGTGGAGAGTGACAGTGGAGGTCACTAACACCCTCTTCTGGCCACAAACTCACACAGACATGTACACACACAAATAATAAATCTTAAAAAAAAAAAAAAAAAAAGTTGTAGCCCAGGGTGGTGGCACACGCCTTTAATCCCAGCACTCGGGAGGCAGAGCCAGGCGGATCTTTGTGAGTTCAAGGACAACCTGGTCTACAGAGTGAGTTCCAGGACAGGCACCAAAACTAAACAGAAACCCTGTCTCGAGAAAAACAAAACAAACAAACAAAAAAAACACTATCAAGCAATGACAAAAAAAAAAAGTTGTATTTTGCTAGAAGATACTCATGCACCCTTGCTGGAAAAGCTCTATTCTGAAGAGAGGCAGACACACAAGGTGTTTCTCTTATGCTCTGGAGTGTGAGGGCAGGCAGGTGGGCTGCTGACCCCTTGGGTCTTCTGTTTTCTGCACTAGACTCCACAGTAGCTGGGAGTGAGTTATAATCTTGTCTCTAAACCCAGCTGGCGCTTAGCGAATGCTATTAAAAATTTACTAAGGGCCAAAGAAGCCTGGTGGTGTTGGTCTACACCTTTAATCGCAGGCAGAGGCAGGCAGATCTCCAAGTTTAAGTCCAACCTAGTCTACAGAGCTAGTTCCAGGAAAGCCAGGGCTATACAGAGAAACCCTGTCTCCAAAACCAAAAACTACACCAAACCAAATTGAGCTGGGTATGCTGGCACTCACATGTAATCCCAACACCTGGAGGTAGAGGCAACAGGAGCATGAGTTCAAGGTCATCCTTGGCTACAGTGAGCTCGAGGCCAACCTCAGCTACAAGAGACCTTGTCTCAAAACAAACCAAAAGTTTACTGGCTATGGGAACAGGTGACAAGTTGGAAATACATCAATTATTGCAATGGGGTTAAAGGCCAGCCACCCTGCCCTTCTAGGTTTGTTTGTCTCTCTATATAGCCCTGACTGTCCTAGAACTCAATATGCAGATCAAGCTGGTCTTAAATTCAAAGAGTCACCTGCCTCTGCCTCCTAAGTGCTGGAATTAAAGGAGCACCACCCAGCTTTTACCTGGATTTTAAAAAATATTTTGTTCATATGGGTGTTCTGCCTGGACGTATGTATATGTACCACACGCATGCCTGGTACCCCCCGGAGACCAAAATGGGGTATTGCTTACTCTGGAACTAGAGATACAGAAGTTTTTGAGCCACCATGGGAACTCAGGTCCTGGAAGAACAGCCAGTGCTCTTAACTACTTGGATATCTCTCCAATCCCAGACCTGGCTTTTTGTTTTTTTTTGTTTTTCCAAGACAAGGTTTCTCTGTGGCCCTGGCTGTCCTGGAACTCACTCTGTAGACCAGGCTAGCCTCGAACTCAGAGATCCACCTGCTTCTGCCATCCGAGTGCTGGGATCAAAGGCGTGCGCCACCACTGCCCAACTGCAACTTGGCTTTTTATGTGCATTCTGGGGATCATAACTTTAGTCCTCAAGCACACAAGGCAGTGTTTTGCCCGTTGTCTCTACAGTCCCGTACCATATGTTGATTTTGAAAAGTAAAATCTTGCCAGGTTGCCACAAGAGTGTTTGATGCTGTAATGAGTGCCCTCCCTGTGGCTACTAGTTGGCAATGAAGTCAGATCTAAATACCGGGTTTTATCCTGTGACTCCTGGCCTCCTGAACCGCAGGCAGAGTACCTGAGATGACTGGTAGAGCTGTTTACCTTATCCAACTTCTATTTTTGTCCCATTTATTTGCTTTTGTGGTACTAGAACCCTGTATATGCTAGGCAGGCACGGAGCTACAATTCATCCCTCCCCCCTTTTTGTTTATCCACTTGCTTTGAGACAAGATCTCTCTACAGAGCCCTGGCTGTCCTGGAATTCTCTAGGTAGACCAAGTTGGCCTTGAATTTACAGAGATCTGCCTGCCTCTGCCTCTCCAATGCTGGGATTAAAGGCATGCACCACCATGCCCAGCCAATTCCTAGCTTTTGTTTTTGTTTTTGTTTTTTGATATAGGGTTTCTTTGTGTAATAGCCCTGGCTGTCCTGGAACTCACTTTATAGATCAGGCTGGCCTCAAATTCACAAGAGATCCGCCTGTCTCTGCCTCCCAAGTGCTGGGATTAAAGGCATGCGCCACTACACCCAGCGCAATTCCTAGTTTTTTTTTAAAAAAAACCTTTGTCTGAGACAGCATCTTGCTAAAAAGCCTAGACTAGTCTTGAACTTTCAATCCTTTCGCCTGTCTCCCAGGCACTGGGATTACAGGTATGTTACAGGGCTTCTGCTATGCAAATAACCTGGTGTTAAAGAAGGCACATCCCGGCCAGGCGGTGGTGGCGCACGCCTTTAATCCCAGCACTCAGGAGGCAGAGGCAGGCGGATCTCTGTGAGTTCGAGGCCAGCCTGGACTACAGAGTGAGATCCAGGAAAGGCACAAAGCTACAAAGAGAAACCCTGTCTCAAAAAAACAAAAACAAAACAAAAAAAAGGCACATCCCTTGGGGCTGTGATGGGAAGAGGTCTTCTGGTTTACTAGAAGGGAGGCCTTCTCAGTGTAGCCCTGGCTGTCCCAGAAGTCCCTCTGTACACCAGGGTGGCCTTGAAGGTGAACCACGACACCCTGCCTACAGTTTTTAAACTTATTCTTATGTGTGTGTATGTACATATGTGTATAGGTCGGGTCAACTTTCCCTCCACCACGTGGGCCCCAGAGGTTTGATGGCAGAAGCCTTCACCCACTCAGCCATCTCGCTGGCACAATCTCCTGGTTTTGATACATTAAAAACACATCTCTTTTCATTCATTCATTCATTCATTCATTTATTTTTCCTGGAGCTGAGGACCGAACCCAGGGCCTTGAGCTTGCTAGGCAAGCGCTCTATCACTGAGCTAAATCCCCAACCCCTCATTCATTTATTTTTAAATAATTATTCTTGTGGGGTGTGTGTGTGTGTGCACACACACACCTGTGAGGAAAGAAGAGAACACTGAGTCCCCTGGAACCGAGTTACAGTTGTAGGCTGCCGGGCACAAGCACTGGAAACTGATCCTAGGTCCTCTGCAAGAGTAACAAGTGCTTGTAACTGCTGAACTATCTCGCCAACCCTGTAAAAAAAACATATTCAAGGGCTGGTTTGGAAAGGCTCAGTGGATAGACACTTGCTGCCCAGGCTAATAACTTTAGTTTGATCTCTGGGACCCACACAGTAGAAGAGAACTGATACCCTGCCCCCATGTGCATCTGTGGCATATTTGTAAACACACACAAAAGTAAGTGTAAAATTTTTTAAAAATTAAAAACCAGAACCACTTTGAGATTTATAATATCACCACCACTGGAGAGGCAGAACCAGGAATATCAACACAAGTTCAAGGCTAACTTGCTCTACATGGTAAGTTTCACGTCCACCTTTAAATCACAGCTTGTCAGGCTGGAGAGGTGGCTTAACAGTAAAGAGCACTCCTTGCTCTCATAGATGACCTGGGCTTGGTTCCCAGTGCCCACCTGATGGCTCACAACCATCTGCAGCTCCAATGCCACAGGATCTAATGCCCTCTCCTGGCCTGAGGGCACCACACACACACACACACACACACACACACACACACACCAGACACACACATACACACACACACACACACACTGCTCATAAATACAAGCACTCTCAGGTCTTTAATCCCAGCACTCAGGAGGCAGAGGCAGGCGGATCTCTGTGAGTTCAAGGCCAGCTTGATCTACAGAATGAGTTCCAGGACAGGCACCAAAACTACACAGAGAAACCCTGTCTCGGAAAAATAAATAAATAAAATAAACAAACAAACAAATGATAGACAAATAAATGCAAGTGTTCATGTATATAGAATATATCTAAAAAATTATCTAATATAGAATATATCTAAAAAATTATCTAAAACAAGATATATATAATAAAAATCCAGGTAAGTAAGGCTTCCCTGCAAACTTGACTCCCATTCTGAGCCTCATCTCATACTCCTATGCCCAGCATCACCTTCTTACCTCCCTGTTTAAGAAAAAGAAGAGAAGCCGAGAATGTAACTCAGTAGGTAGTCTTGCATAAAAAAAAAAACCCACATAAAGCAGGTGCTGCTAACATGTCTGCAATTCCAGCACTAATAGAGACAGAAGGATCAGAAGTTCAAGGTCATCTTCAACTACACAGTGAGTTTGAGGCCATCCTGGGTTCATGTAGACCCTGTCTCAGGGCTGGGGAAATAGATGGCTTATCTGTTAAGAGCACTGGCTGCTCACAACTGTCTGTAACTCCAGTTCCAGGAGATCTGACACCCTCACACAGACATACATGTAGGCAGAACACCAATGCACATAAAAATAAAATAAGTCTTAAAAGACACCATCTTAAATTGGAAAAAAAGGAAAAATACAAGCCAGGCATGGTAACTCATGCTTTTAATTCTAACACTTGGGAAGCTAAGGCAGAAGAATTGCTCTGAGTTCAGAGTCAGCCTGAGCTAAAACAAAAGGCAAGACCCTGTCTTAAAAATTAAAAAA